GTCTGGGGAAAAAAGTAAGATCAGAATATTTGAAGCTGAGTAATCAGCAGTGTTTGAGGGACGTGGTGGCGCTGCAGGTTAAACTGCAGAAGTCTCTGTGCTACAAGATCAGAAGACCAGCTGTCATAAGATCGACCCGTCGCTTGTCCCAGCTCCTGCCAACCTAGCAGTTCGAAAGCATGTAAAAATGCAAGTAGATAAATAGGTACCACCTCGGTGGGAAGGTAATGGCGTTCCGTGTCTAAGTCGCACTGGCCACATGTCAAAACGAAACTGTCTTCGGACAAACGCTGGCTCTATGGCTTGGAAATGGGGATGAGCACCGCACCCTAGAGTCGGACATGACTGGACTAAATGTCAAGGGGAACCTATACCTAATCAGCAGTGTTGGCTATTTGTCACTTTCAACTTTCACAGACTTCCAATATGTAATCATTTATTATCCACCAATACTACGCATTTTATTACATTATGATACACCTATGTGCCATCTGCACATCAAGTAAGTGTTTAGCTCTCTCAGTGAAATTAATGGGACTTCAATCATTGCTAGATCATATCCCTCAACATAGATTGTTGTATTTGTATTAATTATGGTTATATGATTTTATTGGACCATGTTTTAATAGTTTGAAAATATTTAAAGAATCTTACGATATGTATGTATAGATTCACATTTTTTTTCTATTTTGATTTTTAAAGTCACCTTTAGGAGTTTTTGGTTGTCACCAAAACTAACAAAGTGTCTAGTGCAAATAGCCCTCACTTTTTCTGCTTTTGTAAACAACAACAAAAACAACAACAAAAAACAGCTGCCACTGTAGAGTTAGACTGATTTGGAGTTTACATGGGTTGAAAAGTCCTATGTTTTGAACAGCTAGTTAACCTAAATACAATGTGTTCCTACCACCTCTGTGCAGTTTAGCTGAACGAAATATAAGGAGGATAGTAGTAAAAAGATAAGTTGGTTATCCACTAGCAAGCTCTTTAGGAGAAGTGACTTGACTTGTATATCCTTTTCTCAGAAAAGGTCACTGATCTCTTTTGGCATCCAAATAAATACAATGCAAATTGTAACAAGACTTTTATTTTCTCAGTCAAATGGTGGGTGGGCCCTGCAGTGTTTAGTGAACAGGGAGTGCAAGTGAGGAGGCAGCTCCATAAAGGCACTAACTCTTTGATGCCCCTGCTCATTGAAATCCACCAATCCTACTGAATACTTCCAAGTATTCCAGCTATGCATCTGCTTGATAATCAGGTTTCAGCATGATTGATGCTAAAGGATGCAAAAGACACTACCAATTAACGAGCAGGACAGTTCTAGGCACTTTCTGCTGATTTTTAGTGCATGGTGGATGTTCTGTTCTAGTGTTTTTATGTATTGATTTTGATCCGCAGCCTTCCCTGTCTGAAGCGGCTGTGCTTTTAAAAAATTGAAACAATCTACTGCTAAAATTTAGTGGGTACTGTATAACTGTGTATCCACAGTAGCAAATCTCAGAGGGAAGTTGATGCATTACTTTATACATGTTTTTAGACCACATTGAGAATATTTTTCTATGCATAGTACAGTATATGGTTGATACATTAAAGAGCATTCTGTTGACTAATCTTTAGAAATGCCATCAGTGTTGCTAGTAGTAGACTGTATCTGCTATTGTTTAGATAAAATGTATAAATTTTATAAATTGAAATAGGAGTAAAATTGGTGCCAGGAAGTTGACAAAGTGCTTTATCCTTCTCAGACTATTGTTGCAGAAAGGGTGGAGATATGTAATGGAATAACTAGGGGCCTTTGGAGATGAAATGTCCAGTGTATTTCAGTTTCAGCTTCATTTATGTTAATCAGTTATGTAACTTGTGTTTTTCTCAAGAAGCAATTGTAAATCCCAAGAAGTTGCCTGCAGTGATGTGGGACAGAAAACATTAGACTTACGTGGACAAGATTCAATGCAATATTTCGGTATCCCAACACCAGCAGAACTGGGACTTGCTTTCCTTGTCTTTCCCTAATGCAGCCTTTTGTAGTGTCCTAAACCTACTCCAAGCCCTACAAAACATGATCTGGGGCTACATAGCTGACTGTAGGAGGGAATATAGGTGATAGGTAGAAGCAGTGGACTGTAGTGGAAATACATTGTTGTATCCATACTGTTATTTTTCATAGAGAGGTTTCTGTTGCTGTGAATGCATTGTTCCATGAAATTACAGAGCAGTCTTAGCCCAAAGAAGTGGCAGATGTATTCTACCACTGGCAGAGAAAAACTGAGCCATAGGGGGTATGCAAACTGAAGAACCCTCCTCAAATGCCTGTAGAAAACTTCACACATGTAAATCTATTCAAGACAGTGTTCCTACCAGTGATAGGATAGATTTGATTCCACTAGATGCCATTCCTTTTGGTGTCTCCAGGATTGGGCTCCTAGCCTAGACAAGCTTTAGACTGATGTATGTCATTTTCCTCTTTTTTTACCAGTTTGCTTGCCCCCTGCTGTGTTAATTACAGTAGGATCCCTATATCTGAGGGATATTACAAATATTAAAAGAGGACAAGCTTTAGACTGATGTATGTCATTTTTCTCTTTTTTTACCAGTTTGTTTCCCCCCCCCGCTCCATAAATCCAAGGATTGCTGTGTTAATTACAGTAGGATCCCTGTATCTGAAGGATCAGTGTCCTCAGCTTCACTTCACCACAGTCTAAAAATATTAAAAATATTAAAAGAACAAAATCCAGAAAAAACTTTTCACATATATTACCAGAATGGGCCACTAGAGGGAGCCAGAGACCGTGCTGTGAATAGCTTCACTTCACCACAGTCTAAAAATATTAAAAATATTAAAAGAACAAAATCCAGAAAAAACTTTTCACATATATTACCAGAATGGGCCACTAGTGGGAGCCAGAGACCATGCTGTGAATGCTTGCTAGTGAAGAATGCATAACATGGTCACTGGCATCCTTTAGTGGCCAAGTCCAGTAATGCATATGAAAATGTTTTTTTTCTGGGTCCCCCCCCCTTTACAATGTTATATAATCTGTAATCTATAATCTATATATATATACGTAATCTGTGGTTTACAGAATCCACAGGGGGCTTGGAACTGATCCTCAATTCCTCAATGGATATGGGAGTCCTGCAGTCCTAACATAACGGATAGGTACATTGCCAGTTCAATAGGTAATTTCTAAGTTCTATTTATTTTCTCTTGAGGCAGCTCTTCTTAGGAAGAATACAAATTACATAGATATGGAACTGTAGACAAAGAAAGGATCTATTTATTTGTACATGGAAAGGGTAAACATAACATAATATGCTTAGTTAATTCCAAATTGGAGCACTGGGAGATTTTTTTTTTCATTCAGCATTTTCTGAAAATCCCAAATCACTACTCAATTGTTGGGTACCAAGACTGATATCAAGATGTTTAAAATTAGGATTTCATATATTTACTGGGTTTTGAGGCTAGACTGGACATGTACTTTTAGATGCAGATTTCTGAACACTCTGGAGTTGGAGTAGTTTCTTTCAGCCATAACTCTTTTTAGTCTATAGAAGAGAAGCCAGATTGTGGTATTGTTTACAACTGTTCTAAAGCTCCTGGAATCCCTCGGGGCTGAGCGTAGTTGTAGTTCCTTGAGTCTGCACCTCCTGCTAGAGCAGATAATTTGGGTGTTGTACAGCCCAAAGTGACAGCTCCATGGCCTGTGTTGTAAGCTGCCAGTTCTTCCTTTGAAATACATCCATTGCCTGTCTTAAGAACTTGCTCAACTGTCTTGGAGATCTCATCCAGAATGCCAGTGGGGCTTTTCCCCTCCCGGTAGTCTTTGTGGGAATTAAACTCTCTATTTTTTTAAATTTTGCATTGGGACGTGATTGTTATTCACATGCACAGAGCACTCCCCTATAGCACAGCTGTTCATTTCCCTTATGAGATGTTTTCGCGTAGAGTCACTTTTTTTTTTACATTTGAGACAAGATGCATGGAACTGGGAATTTAACAGCAAAAGTGGAGGATGAAAGATAATTCTGAAACCACATGGGCCAAAAGTCTTGTATGAAAATCTGCATGCATAAGGACAGTAGCAAAATCAGGTTTCCCTGAATGCATGACTTTTTTGCATGCTGTAGCTTGCGAGGGACCCCCACTTCAAGACTGCAGATACCTCCTGTGTGATTTCTGGTTCATGCTCCGTGAATGCAACAAGATTGTGGTCCTGCTGCTTGCATGTTAGCCAGTTTACAGTCCATGAATCCAATAGGATAGTTAGTGTTTTGCTCACTGCTGATCTGGTATGTCTTTTTCCAGTAATGTGCCAGAATTAAATTTTGACACACTGGTTTAAAAAACCAAAATCTTTGCATGTGTGGACACTCTTCCAAGGAAGACAAATTGCGTGGGCAGCAGCCTCTCTTTCCGTACACAGTTCCTGGAAAGAACACAGAAACAATGTGCTTTTTCTTCCCAGGGACGTCTCACATTTCTCATCCTGCTGCCAGCATTTAGCTACCAGTGGAACCTGAGCTTTCTGGGTTGCAGTTAGAGACGATAAAGGAGTTCAGTGGAGGAAGCTGGCACTAGTGAACTGAACTACTAGGAAACAGTCTACCTGAGGCAGTGGTGAGGGTGGTTGTTAGAAAGAGCCAAGTGTCTATTCCTTATTCAGTTTAGGACTTTTATTCCATCTGTTGGTGGCCAACAATGTTGGAGACTCATGTTGACCTACTCGTGGATTTGAGCTGTTGGAAATAAATGCCACGAAAAAGAAATAGTGTTATTCTCAGTGGACAGATACTGGCTGTTCCAGTTGTAGGCCAGAACCATCACTGAGCTGCCAGTGGCTATTACAGAAGTTGGTCAGCACTTTGTTTGTAGCTTCTGGTTTTGAAATGACCCAGCATTCTCATGCTGGAGGAGGCCTTGAGCATAAACATGTGGAAGCACTCTGGAGGATGTTCCCGGAAAAGGCTCTGATTCTTTTTTTTCTTTTCCCTTCTAGATGGTATTCATAGTGTTACAGCACTTTGCACCTTACGGGTGACGATTATCACAGATGACATGCTTACCAACAGTATCACAGTCCGGTTGGAAAATATGTCCCAAGAGAAGTTTCTCTCCCCACTGCTTGCTCTTTTTGTGGAAGGTGTGGCTACCGTGCTGTCAACAACCAAAGAAGGCATTTTTGTCTTCAACATCCAGAATGACACAGATGTCAGCTCTAATATTCTGAACGTCACGTTCTCTGCCTTGCTTCCTGGTGGTATTCGAAACAAATTCTTCCCCTCTGAGGACCTTCAAGAGCAGATATACCTCAACCGGACCCTCCTTACATTGATATCTGCCCAGCGAGTACTGCCTTTTGATGACAACATTTGTCTGCGGGAGCCTTGTGAAAACTACATGAAGTGTGTATCTGTTCTTAAGTTTGACAGCTCTGCTCCTTTCATCAGTTCAAATACTGTCCTGTTCCGGCCTATACACCCTATCAATGGGCTGCGGTGCCGGTGTCCCCCTGGGTTTACAGGTGACTACTGTGAGACAGAGATTGACCTCTGCTACTCCAATCCTTGCGGAAACAATGGACTTTGTCGAAGCCGAGAGGGAGGCTACACTTGTGAATGTTATGAAGACTACACTGGTATGTTTTTATCCTTGTTTAATAAGTGATGTATCAAATATTGTGCAATTGAGGAAAGTGAGTCTTTTGCTCTCTTTCATCTAAAGATGAAAAGTACAGGGCCAGATTTAAATTGAAGTATAAAGAATCAGTAGAGGGGTTGTAGCTCAGAAAATGTGCTTTGTGTACCGAGAATGTTGGGTTCAACGCGTTGCAATTGAGGAAAGTGAGTCTTTTGCTCTCTCAGTGAATCTAAAGATGAAAAGTACGGAGCCAGATTTAAACTGAAGTATAAAGAATCAGTAGAGGGGTTGCAGCTCAGAAAATGTGCTTTGTGTACCGAAAATGTGGGGTTCAACGCCTTACATCTATTTAAGGATCTTATGTCTTCTCTGTGTAAAACTATAGGCAAGGATAAAAGATTGCCATGTGCCCTATTTGCATCTTTCATGGAATTGTTACCTTTCCCTTATACTCCTGAGCTAACTGCATTGTGATATAAACTGTTTAGTACACATGAGTATACATGAGTTGATGTGTGTGGTCATCAAAGTGGCACAAAAGGAATGCAAAGTGTGCTTCTTATATACCGCCCTATAGCGCTTAAATCACTCTCTAGGCGGATTAAAATTTAACTATGCAGGCTACATATTGCCCCTCTTCCCCACAAGCTGGGTACTCAGTTTGACAACCTCAGAAGGATGGAAGGCTGAGTCAACCTTGAGCCAGCTACCTGAGCCTGTCAGGATCAAATTCAGGTCTTGAGCAAAGCAGCCAGCTACCTGAGCCTGTCAGGATCGAATTCAGGTCTTAAGCAAAGCCTTGGCTGAAATACTGCAGTTTAACCAATGCACCGTCAGGCTCTAAGCACATACAGCATATCATGGAAATAGAGCTTCTGATGTTGCTGAGTAGGATCTGTTAAAGAGCGAAGAGAATGAGGAAGCTGTGTGCGTAGGCATTTGACTTGTTGAATTAAGCCAGTAATATACAGTTTGGCACACCATTTCATCATGCGCTGGTATCCTCATGCACAAACTAAGTTGTAGAGCAGCAGCCTTTATTTATTGGGGGAAAGATAAGATTTGGTAGGTACAGCATATTTATTCTTAATTTTATGAACACAGATGGGATATAAGCCTTTAACATTGATTAATTAATTTACATTTCTTTAATACACATCAGTGATTCCATCTAGAGACATCTTTCTGTGTCCACTGTGTATCTTTTGGGTTCTTGTTAATATGCTAAAAACTGCATTTGCAAATTTTGGCCCTGTAGCGGAGAGGCATAAATGTGGAGTGTGTATTTATCTAATTCGGATGTAGATAGAAAGGTAAGGAAGGGAGGAAGTCTGCAGCAAGTGGATGTTAGAACCATCATAAATGTTGTTCTTAATATTTATTTTATTTTAATTATTTTCTCAGTATTTATCTTAGACTTAAAAGATGGGGCCATCCTTACTGAAGAGAGAATCCTCAGAGGAGAGCCTCTTCTTTACAAACCCTAACATTTCACGTTACCTGATTAAGAGACATGCTTAAAAATTGTTACAAGAAAATAACACAGAATCTTTCATCCCTTTGCTAAGATACACTGAGCATAATGCTGAAGTTATAGTACAGATATATTTCTGTCCCAAACACCTTGATTTCCTCTAGTAGGCAATTGCTTCCTAATAAAGAGACTACTTTTCTCCTTCGTTTCCATCCCTGCTCCAAAATCTTTGAAGCTTTTCATTTGTTGGGATGTAATTTATACATGATGAAAGTTTCTCTGTCCTCAGCAGTTTTCTGTTTCAAGCAGTAAGGTACACAGAGCTTTTATGAGCTATATCTGAAATGGGAGTACGCACCAATTATAATTACCTGTACTTCCTGTGAGGTAAGGAGGTGAGTGATAAGGAGACATAGTATTTGTGAGTTCAGATCAGATCTGGAATGACATTGTTTCATTTTGCCAAGTCAGTGTGCATAACATCTCTGTAATCCTTCTGCCAAGGAAGGGGGAAAAAAAGTTAATCTCAAAGCAGGTAAAGGCAGATGGATTTAAAACCACAAGTTAACTTTTTTAAAAAAGGATTTTTGACAATTTGTTTTTAAAAGGATTTTTTTAAACTTAAATCATTTTTTTAAAAAAAGTCATTGATTTTTATCCACCCCGATGCAAAGATATATTCTCTCTTTTATGTCGGGATGCTTTCTCCACGTTTCTCTGTATCTGTTTTATGAGAATAGCAGCTATTCTGTTAAGAAACTATGCTCACAAATCATGGAAAATCAGAGACCAGAGAAACAGTACTCAGGTTTCTTCAGTCAAAAGTTAGGATTGCCAGAAAGATTATGCCTGCCCATCACTACATTTGTTTCTCCACAAACCCCTTAGCCCAGTCCTTTTCCTTTTATGGAGCAAAGATAAAGCTTTATGTGCTACAGGAGGTGAGCTGTAGAGAGCTTGGATAATGGGACATGTGTTTAGGTATCGACCTAAGACACAGTTTTGCATTCTTCTACAATCCTGTTCGATGCAGACCGAGCACTGGCAGATAGAACTGTCGCTGGATCAGGAAAGGAATACCCAGTTTTTCAATACTCATATGAATTTGCCTATGGCCTTGTGACAGTGTACTCTTTTTTGCACATGATCCTGGGCCTTTTTGTGCTCATGTGAGAAAAAAGTAATACTGTACAGCAGTGGTCCCCAACCTTTTTGGGGCCGCGGACCAGCTGGGGGGAGTGAGCCCCATGTTTGGGGGCATGGGGGCAACCCTGCACTCACAGGAGGCATGTCGCCCTCACGGGGATGTGTTGTGCTCATGGTGGGCGTGTTGCGTGAGTGCAACATGCCCCCCTGTGAGTGTGACACACCCCACGTGGGCGCAGTGTGCCCACTGTGCGAGCATGACACACCCACCGCACGTGCATGCGGGGGGGGTGGAGATCCATATCTGCAGTCCAGTTCCGGCAAGCCCACGGACCAGCACGGGCCACAGACTGGGGGTTGACGGCCCCTGCTGTAGAGTCTTCAGAGTTTAGTCTTTTCCCCCCAACTACACACTACATTACATTTGAAAGGACTGTGTGTTATTGCTATGTTGCAAGGTTTTCTGTATAGCAGTGCAAACCTTAATTAATCTTGTAGAGTCTGTGTCATAAGGTTAGATTTCCAATCACTGTTCTGGCTCATCACAAGCTTTTCACCCACTTCCTACAAGTCAAAATACTTTTTCAGTACTCTTTACTTTTTACATGTTTGATACATGGGCACAGTGTTTGTATCTTGCCTCGTGAAAGCTTTCTCCTCTTTCCTGAAGATTCTGCTGAATGCATCATGGTTTACATTACAATATAGCAATGAATTAAGATTAAAGCATATTCAGTTCTTTAAAGACACACACACAAAAAAAAACCCCATGGGCAGAGTGTTTGTATCTTGCCTCGTGAAAGCTTTCTCCTCTTTCCTGAAGATTCTGCTGAATGCATCATGGTTTATATTACAATATACAGTAGCAATGAATTAAGATTAAAGCATATTGTTTTTTAAAGACACACACACAAAAAAACCCCTCCCATTCCATGTTTGGGTGAATAGGTACATGTATTTACTATATTAAAACGCGGCAAACTTCTGTCGTAATTGTTTTACTTGGGGCGCAAAGTCTTTTAGTGATACTATAAATTATATTTAGCCATGGGAAAGGAAGTTTCACAGCAACAATGTAGGAGAACCATTGACAGTACTGTTTTGTCTATCTTTGTTGTGGTGTTCTAACACCTGAAACCAAAGTCTGTATTATAGGTAAATATATGTATTTAAACTCTCCCATCTGGGGATAGGAATTTTGGGATAAGAGATCTGGAACAGAGAAATCACCGTGAAGCCATAATTCCTTCTTTACCTGCTTGTTTTTTCAAGTGTAAGTCTCTTCCAAACTATATACATAGTATTTATTTTTTTACCCTGAATTTCTCCTTAAAAAAGACCCAGAGTGGCTTACATCATTAAAAGATAATATTAAAGCTAACAACAGTGTTAACTGTTGCTAGTGATTGTACAAATACTAAAAGGAATCAAATACTGTAAATACCATACTAAAAAACATAAGCATCACCAAAACACATTCAAAGCATTAAGGTACAAGAATCCATTTAAGAACCCTACTCAGGCAGTCAGTCACTCAGGAAAAGCTTGCCTGAAGAGAAAAGCCTTCGCCTATTTTTGGAAGGACAGTAAAGATGTGGCCAATTTAGTCTCCTGTGGGAGGGAGTTCCAAAGTCTGGGAGAGCAGCAACAGAGAAGGCCCTCTGCCATGTACCCATCAAATGCACCTGTGAAGGTGGCATGACTGAGGGAAAGGCCTCCCATGATGATCTTAACTTTACTTTACTTTTATTGAATTTATCCAAGCAGACTCATAAAGGGGGATACAGTCCTTGAGATAACTTAGACCGAAGCTGTTTAGGACTTTATAGATTAGAACCAGTATTTTGAATTCTGCTTGGAAACGGATCAGCAGCCACTGGAGCTGCAATTATGTGACCCCTGTGAGCAGCCCCAGTCAGCAATCTGGCTGCTGTGTTTTGGAGCCATTGAAGTTTCCTGAGATATTCCATAGGCCCACATGGAGTGTGTTAACAGTCATCCAGCTGAGATGTAACTAAGGCATGCATCGCTATGGCCGATTAGACCTTGCCAGGAATGGGTGCAGCTGGCACACTAGCATTAAGGTACCCCTGGCCGCTGCTGAAACCTCCATATCCAGGGTCAAAGATGTAATCAATAGTACTCTTGGAGTTCCAAGATACATGGCTACTCTTGCAATCACAGAGGGCGAATCTCTACAAGAAACATCTGTCGAAGTATTGGAATGTGTATTTGAATGTAGTGTGCAGATATTTAGAACCCAAGTTATTCTGTATGTGCCTAAACATATTTAGGTATACAACATTTAATTCAGTAATCCATAGAGAGAAGGCTTTTTTTTTAAACCTGCAGGCAGAGCTCTTAAAATTAATTGCAGT